AAATGATGAATTGATAAAATATAGAACAACAATTGATTCTTTTTTCGTAACTACAAAGTCTAAGTTATTGTCGATTTTGCTTGATAGGCAATCATTGAAGCATTCAAATGCACAGAATATTTTTAGATATTTTCTGTGCTATGCTATGAATAACTGATAATGATCTTGGAATGATTTGTTCAAGTTCCATACCATGACTTAGATAAGTCAATAGGGACTTAATTTTGTAATTTAATATGGCTAGATATGTGATAGATACATCAAATTTATCTTGAAATTAAAACCGAGGATAATTAGAAGAAAAATAAATTTTAAATTTTAAAGAATAGGGATTTCTGATGAGAGAATCTCGTCAAGTGATGAATCGCGTTTGAGATGAGTCTTACCTTATTAGATAGGCTTCTATTGAGGCGAGACAAAGGTTAAAATGATTTGTGCTTGTATTTAAGGTACTTTTCTTGTTCGAACTTATCATAAACAAATTTCTCAACAGAACTCGTTTATTTCGAAAGTGTTTGATTTTTCGCATAAGGGAATGCTTAATATTGATATTAGAAGATAATCGATACTGAAATATCTGACACTTTCACAATAAACAAATCCTATTTAGAACTTAATTTGTGTGCAATATGAGAGAGACCATAGCAAACTTGTTGGAAATCTTACTAAAATAGGCATAGGTGAAGAGTAAAGAACTATAAGCATGCATTATTTTAGACTTTGTCTAGTATCAATCTAGCTTATATAATGAGACAAAACATTTTCTCAAAAATCAATTTATCACTTGACGAAACTTCCTTATAAGAATTCTTCAGTATTGGAAAAATGATAAGAAACCAAAATTCGAGTAGAAGCGATTTTAGTTTTATGCATACATCTTTGGTTAGAGTTTAATATCTTGCTCATGAATATATGGTTCTCAATTTTTTCTCTTATTTTATCTTGTAAGAGAGTAAATCCGGAAATACTCGAAGGGTATAAAAATGAACCGAAATCGTTTCTTTAGGAAAGTTCAATTTTTAAACCATTTGTATTGTCGAAACATTACAAACTATGTATTCTTACTCGCCATATGAAACCGAGTAGAACAGTCATATTTGAGTGATTTTAAAGTTAAAGATCTGTTCGGTATGGTAAGTAGAACATTTTCAACTAATGTCCGCTAGGACCCAAGTCGGTAAACAAATCTAGTTTTTTCAATGAAAAGAAGAGGTCAAGTGAATTACTTCATTAGAATGTGTTGAGGATGGATCTTAATGGTACACATAAGTTTTTCTTTTATTAGTAAGAAAATGAAAATTTTCTATTTGAAAAGCGAAATCTTAGAAAAAACTTATCCCGAATTCAGCCACTGTGACTATCCAATTGTCAGAAAAGAGCAAAATAAATGTCATATTCAAAATGCGTTTAAAAACCTAGATCGAACTGCATACATTTCTTCGAAATAGTTTTCCCATTAGGAGTTTAACCCTGGCTGATGACAGATAAAATTTTTCGAAAAAATAACATGAGAAGGAGTACTAGTAAATTTCTCGTGAAGAAAGTGTTTGCATGAAATGTATGCATTTCAATGCAGTCTTTTTAGTTGATTATGAATATGACGTTTATTTTGCTTTTTTCTGACAGTTTTATAGTTCAAATGGCTGATTTCAGGAAATGGTTTTTCTAGAACTTTGCTCTTTAGGTCAAAAACTTGTATTTTCTCATTAATAACAGAAAAACGTCTACGTACTATCAAAGTCCGTTGTTGAAAGTTTAGAATGGAGTAACTCACTTGGCTTCATGTCTTCGTGCAAAAAGCTGGATTTGTTTATAAACTTGGATCCTAGCAGATTTTACTTGAGTATCTTCTACACACCATACCGAATCGACCTTTGACTTTAAAGTCAGTAAAATATGATCCTTATACTTGCTTTTAGATCGCGAATAAGAAAAACAAATATACAGTAAAATCTCTATATGGTGAATACGGTCGGGAACATTTAAAAGAGTTCACTATACAAAAGTATTCAGTTTAGAGAGTTGACGTTTAGTTTGATGTGAAATGAAGAAAAGACTTCAGAATATCTGCTTCTTCATTAGTCTTAAACAAAAGTCTGGTTACTTATTCTTTTGCTCATCTAAAAGATTAGAATTCAAAGATCTTTCGATAATAAAACAAAATTTAATTTAACAAAAAATTTTCTAATGTTCTTTGTCTTTTGTTTTTTGAATTCATATAAATGTCAGTTAATTGAGATTCTAATTCATTAATTAATCGTTATTATTTTGATTGTTGTGTTGTTGGGATTTGCGTATCGTTTTCGTTGTTTTCCTTAGTCTTGGTAGTGATTGTATTGACATACGATCATCATCATCTTATTCATTAGCATTCAGTGTTATAAGACACTCACATATATCAACTCATTCATTGAACGCAGGCATATCTTCATTTATATCAATAACTCTCATACATAGAATGTATTTACTCATCATGCATAAGAAATAAATAGAAAACTGTTGCTCATGTTTTCGTTGGAGAGATTACAATAGCAAGAGGAATGGCGAAAAAGTGTTCTTTATTCAGTATAGGAAAATGCTCACATTAGAGAGAGAGTTATTTCGAAAATTGAATTTTTCCTAAATAAACAATGTTTTGTTCATTTTTATACCTTTCGAGCATTTTCAAATTTGTTCTCTTAGAAGACGATAGAAAAAAATTGAAACCCACGTATTCATAATCGCCATATTAAACTCTATCCAACGATATATAAATAATACTAAAAATGTTTGCACTTGAGTTTTGCACTCTTAACATTTTGCTTCCCAATCATAAACATTGCAAACTCTTTCTTCTTATTATTGAGTTTCAATCGAAAACTATTGAACAATCTTCAAATATAAAATATATAATATACTAATAAAACATTGTGTTTTGCAAAACGCTTAGAATTATAACTTTTCTGAAAAATTTTCTTTACTAATTCATCCATAATGACATGCACTATGACATTTGTTAAAGCAGACGGATGTTTATTACGTAGCAAAAGTTCGTTTACTCATGTGAACCCAAAGAATTACATACGACTTATTTGCGCATGTATTAATAGAAAAAATGCTAGTGAAATTACGCGGTTTTTTTATCTCTTAATCATTCTTTGTCTACTTTTACAATGGTAATTTCCATTGGTTGCAAAATGCACTTTTATGCGAACTCATGACACACGTCGAGCGCCTTATATAGTTCGTACAAAATGCACTAATGCTTAGAAAGTGTCAGTCAGAGAAAAGAAAGAAGTTATATAGTAACAGCGGAAAAAATTAATACTTCGTATTCATCTAATCGAAAATCAACAAAGCTCACGTGTCATTGAAATTGCACTCTTGAAGTATATGTTTTTTCTTCGGCTGATTTTATGCGTAAAAAAAAAGATTCATGATGACGTCATGAACATCTGGCTTGTCTATATATATATAGAAGGAGAGACACGTTGATAGGCTTAACAAAATCAAAAATAGAATAACAAAAGCAACATAAAAGAGACGAAACTCACAGACAAAAAAAAACATACTGATTTAACTCATAAACATTTTCTTTATATACTATATTTACTCAGAATGACATCAAACAATTTTTTTAAATTCATAATATTGGATTGAACAAAAAAAGAAAGATAAGTACTACTGTAAGTATTTCCGATCAAAACCTTATAAGCAATCATGCACCGTTTCGTACACATGAGCTACTATAAAAATACAAACATCTTTCACAGTCACATGATAAAGCAATTTACTTATTCAATACTTGTCTTTCTCAATTATAGATGTCATCCTATATTGATAGGATTGACGATAAAATCTCATGAAAAAATACTGACAAAAACTATTCATCCCTGATTTTGTTAAACTTCATCGAAAATGTCTCTAAAAATAATTTACAATAAATATAAAGAAAGTAAGAAGAGAGGTTCAAACAAATATCATTAATATTTTTACGCCTGACTTTCCTTTTCTTTTTGAGTACAACATAATAAAAAATAATTACAGAATTATTCCTTTCTCCCCGACTGTCGGACATGACTCAGAAGAAAAACAAGTAACCGAGTGATGAAAGAAAAAAAGAAAATTTCCAAGGAAGTTTTTTTCGAAGATTATTTTTTATATTTCTTTATAAAAATAAATACTCGAATACTACATAAGTTAAATTGTTAAATATTTTATATTGAACAAAAATATTATTTCAAAATAAGTAATCATAGATTTTGCACTTTATTTTTCAGTTGCACTTAACTAATATTTGTGCTTGAATACTTAGATCTCTTATTCTTATCATTATCTTTAGTACTTTTCAAACAAGCTGAAATTTGCTTTTGTTTCTTGCCATATAGTATCTTATTACATTTCTTTATTAACATTCGTTTTTTTTTGATCACGCAGGCATCTTGCTGCTACCTTTTCGTCTTGCTTAGATCTATTCTTTGGTCTTTATATAACTATGATGAAAGATGTGATAAGTACAAACAGGAAAAAAGTCTAAGTCAGCTGCTCTTATTTGATAACAGAGTCACGTATCTTTTTTGAGGATTCCTTGATGATCACATATGAATACCAACAACAAACTAACATCTGATACAGTAAACAGAAATAAAAGAAGAAAAAATATTCTAAAACACATACGACCAATCTCGGTTTCGTTTGTTTTCGTTTATCTCTATGTTTTTGTTAACATTCTCATAGAAATTTTTGCAAACACACTGCTTAAAATTCAGAACTGAGGACTTAATTAAAGAGGTCATATGAATAGGAACATATTTAAATACATATATTTGCATGTAACGTTTCGACTTTGTGTTGGTCTTTCTATGATATGTGGGATTTTTTTAGATTTATTTGCAATTCGAATAGTGTGTCTATTTTTGCACACTGTTTTTACTTGTCTGTATATATATTATGTATACAATCACGTTACCAAGACTTATTATATTACAAGAAGTCTTAAATTAGTTAAAAGCAATCAAACCATGGGATTATTTCGATTTTTTAAAAGTAAATCAACTCAGCATTTATCTGATTTGGCTAATAATGATTCATTACCAGGTAAGATTTTTATTATTATCTTTTTCGATCGAAAACAAGATACATGATCGATCTAGGGTTTTGGAAGAGGAAGATACTTGTTCAAAACATGAAGCGATCATAGACAAAAGTCAGTTTTCTTTTTGGCTCGTTCGAATCAATATAAACTCATATTTTTCTCGAAAAAAACTGACAAATATTTCTTTCAGAATCGCGACTGTCCTGCGCTTCTCTACCATGAAATCCGTTATTCTATAAATCTAATAGTTCAGATTACGTATATAATGATTTATCTAAATGTTATTTTTAGTCTCACTATGTGTGTGTACCCGATCGGCATATGGTATCTATGTATGATGTGTTATTCTTTTTGCATTCGTATCTTCTACAGATTATAAGGCTTTGTTTTAATGATATATCTATTATTGTAAGAGAGAAAAATAAAGCTCTATGCATCAGACAGCTGACAATTAAGAGAAAAGAAGGTATTCAAGCTTGGGTACATATGTAAACGAAACAAATATGTCGTTTTTTTTTCTTTTCGTCACCCTTGTTTATAGAGAAAAAAATTAACCAAAAAAAAAAAGGCATTTCCTTTTTCTTTTCTTTTCTCTCTTATTTTTTCTTTATCTTTTTTTCCAATAAAAATTATGCGGCTATGATCACTTCATTAAAAAAAAAACAAAAAATATTAGTCACATCTCGTTTCCCCCCTTACATATAAATACCGCATCATCGAAACCGATATGCATCAAAATACAAAAACACTAATTGCGTATCGCGGATCATAATAATACGTTGTGATTTGATCAATAAAACTAATGGCACATCGAACAGGTTTACTTGAAATCAAGCATGCTAACGAATGTCAGCGTGCATCTCTCACAAACAAATTACCCTATTATGTAAGACGCCTGTTTAGTATTGCCAATAAAAAGAAGACAGCAGCTGCTAAATCAAAACCCAGTGAGTACTTGAAAAAAAACTACACTATTATATTACTTTGGCGATTCATTCGACAGAATCAGTTAGTTATGATATTCTTTCAGAAAATGTTTGTAAATATATTATTATTAAATCCTCACTCTCCCTATGACAACCAATAATTGGTTAGCTGTATAGTTTTTTTTACTTCACAATTGTGTCTCCTAATTTTGTTTTTCTCTTGAATACATGATCTATTTGACAATATGTTTGCATAGACAAAGTCTGCTTCGTTTTTCTGTGCGTTTGCGTGCTGTTGCTGTGTATATTTTGTTGTAGCATTCAACGCCACCCTCACATGGCAACAGGGTGAACTCGTTCAAGGCATTGTCTTAGTTCTTTTTTTTCTTCTTTTTTTCTTCTTTTTTTTTTCTTTTTTTGTTCTTTCGTTCGTCTTGATCGGCAAAAAATAACAATCTTTTTCTGTTGTTACCTTGCCTTGAGTTGCTTTATCCGATTGATCGTTAGGTCGCAATAGACACATCAAGGTTTTCTTGCTAATTACGCATTTTTCTGTCTTTTTCTCGTGTTCTTTCGGTTGCTTAGATCACATGTTGAACAACAAGGTTGTTATGTATACTTGTGTTGTAACAGAATATGCTGATGGACGACATTACAAGGTCTTGGCAGCTATAGTAAAAGTCAATAAAAAAAAGCAATCACAGACAGAAAGAAAAACAAGTTTTGTTTTTTGTTGTTATTTTTTTGGTAGATTTATGGTTGTGTCGTCACAAGGACATTCTCTTCTTTTTTTCCACTATTGATAAGAGAGAGAAAAAAAATTGAACTAATGCGTTAATATAAGTGCAAAAGAAAGTCTCGGCATTCCTGTTACTAATAATAAAATCGAGAGAAACATATGATTGTATTGCTTTTTTCTTAAAAACAGAAATAGTGACTATCCGCCGTCAAAAATGTAAATTTCTACATATGGTGGTGTGCATACATGTTTATCATATTTAGTCTCAATAGTCGACCGCAAAATCCCCCTTCTTTTTTTTCTTCTGTTTACTCTTTCTTCTTGCTCTAAAGACTGTTCTTTTTCTTTTTATCCTCTTCGTCATTGTTTCATATGGTAGCTCTTTCTTCCTTGATTTTTTCCCTCGAATACGCAATGCTTTTTTCTCTTTGCGGTTAGAGCAAGACCACATCTATATAGTCGTCTGTTGAACAAACAAACATCAGGCAACGAATCATTTTTGACAAGTCTTTCTCTCTCATTTTTTTCTTTTGCACATTACGTAACTCTAACCACTAACAGCATCAGCTAGAAAGTGTGTGGCAACTTGCACAGTATGTAGGGCATATAAAGATGCAACCTTGAACGTATGTGTGCTATAATAGTATTGGATGAGAAAAAAGCCGACATGAGAAGAGAAAAGAAGAGAAGAGAAGAAAAAAAAGTAATTCGCTGACAAGAGAAAAGGAGACAGCGTAAGTGTCAAGACAAGAGAAAAATAGTATCTTCGGACAGTTTCGTTCGTGGACGGACGAGTACATTTTCGTTTCAGCTGTGGCGAACGAATGAGCGTATGTACATAAATTGGGTTAATGTAAAGGAAAAAAAAGGAGAAAAGTAGAGAGAAGAAAAAGAAAAAAAAAATGCGGTGAAGTGTTGACGCGCATACATATACATATGTGATGGACATCGACCGACTGGCTCTACAGAAGGAAAGAATAAGAAAAAAAAGAAAAAAGAAATAGCCATTTGTACATTGCTTCTAAACGGTCAAACTAAGCAAACAGAACAAGCATATGTGTGTGTTTGTGTGTGTGCTTTATTATATTTTAATATTTCATCAAATTTTTAATTCATTTGATTTATTTATTTTCTTTTCTATATATAGAAAGTCACAATCAAAAGCTATCGGAAGTGGACTCAGTTTCGTCTTCATCATCATCATCCCTTAATATTAATGAAGACCATCGTAGTACTGGTCTAGCTGTATTTTCCCTTTCATCATCATCTTCGTCATCATCTATAAACGAACCTATTGAAACATCATCATTCATGTCCACACGTATTTTACCAATTGGATTCTATCGTGAACAAGATCAACCACCAAATTCATCATCATCATCATCATCATCTTCATCATCATCATCAACAAATTCCAATGATAAAAATTCAACAACAATAACACAACGTTTTAATACGTATCGTCCATATGAAAATGATCAATTACAATTTCAATCAAATACATCTTCGTCATCATCGTCATCATCATCGTTACCAACTAAAAAAGAAATTTATATCAGTCAAACACGTACACAAAATAATCTGACAACAAATTCTAATACACCTATTGCTATACCAATAAAAACAACAACAACAACATATTGTCCACCTATGGATTTATTAACAATAGAACAACATTTGTTTAATATGGTTCGTTTTGATATTGTGAAATCAAATTTTTGTGATTATTATCAATTGGGTGATTTTGTACGAAGTGGTGGATTTTCCGATATACATGAAGGTATTCGTTTAAGTGACAACAAACAAGTTGTAGTCAAATTTATTCCAAAAGAAAAGACAAAAAATTGGTTAATGATTTGTCAAAAAAAATATCCAGCTGAAATTTTACTACATAAAGCTGTACATGACATACAAGGTAGAACAAAAAAAAAAAATCAAAATTTCTTTTGTTTATTATTTCAATTTAGGTATTATTAATGTTTTTGATTATTTTGAGAATGCTCAACATTGGATATTAGTTATGGAACGTCTGCGTAATTGTCAAGATTTATTTGATTTTCTAGAAGCCAAAGATCGTGGACGTCTTAGTGAAGCAACAGCACGAAAATTCTTTCAACAATTAGTTCACATTAATTTAGCCATGTTACGGTATGATAGAAAAAAATCATGCGTTTTTTTTAAATATCAAAAGTATAATGAAAAAAGAAGCTATTAAAATTAGAAATATGACGTTAAAGGAATCGTACTCAGTGCTAGATAATAAATACAGCAATTCTTAGATCAAGACCAAATTTATCAAGATTGATTATGATTTACAATTAAATTGATTGAAATTGAATACGCGTGAGAATATGAGAAATATGTACAAAAATATTTTGCAGTCTAGAGTCTATATATTAAATAATAACGACACGGAAATAAATCATAAGAAGATCATCATTAGATTGAGAGACATTATCAACAGGGATGTCAGAATTTGACTCAATAAAGTTTCGGATATTGAAATCAGAAATAAAGCTTTGGTAGTATAAGACCTGAAGAAAAAAATTAGACGTTCATATTTTAAGAATGTAGCAGATTGTTATTCTCTCAAATTGTCTTTATATGGTGAGCCGCTATACTCTAAAAACAAAATCTCTGTTACGCAACCTAAAAAGGTTTTTGGGGCGGATATAAACTTAGAACCCAAAGTGAAACAAATGTCTCTACTTTGTATTCGCAGAAAGATATTTTTTAGGCTTCCCAACAGAATTTTTTTTAGAGTGATATGGCCGAATGGCCGTGCCATTCAGCATGTATCCAGAAGATACCATGCGCAAACTTCAATACTGCCCGTCATGGACTGACCTCGGACAACTTACTTACGGCTATTTGTTTTCAACCACTTGCTCAATAACATGCTGACTACATTGCGATATAAATCTGCTCGTGCGATTAGTTAGAGGGTATAGAGAACGCAAAGATTTCGTCAGATCAGTCGTTTCCGATCGGAAAAATGATAGGAAATTTGAGATAGAAATTCAGTGGTCATACCGGATTCCTGCTTCAGAGTTTTTACCATTTTCGCAAGTCTTCCGGTAGGAAATTCATGGATCCGGACGCCGAAATCATTGTCTCGGAATAGTTTAGACAAGATATCGAGCGATTGAATCTGCCAATAGACAGTGCTTCTTATCGATAGACAAGGACATTCTGTCTTTGTATAATAGCAAAGTGACATCTCGACGAAGAGATATGATTAAACTAAGAATTTCTTGAATTGATATTTAATTACAGATGTGTGTTTTTCGTTTATTTTAGAAAAGGTGTGGTACATCGTGATCTTAAAAGTGAAAATATTTTAGTTGATCTTGAGACAGAATCCCTTGTATTAATTGATTTTGGTGCCAGTGCCATTTATAAATCTTCAACATCATATTATTCAGATTTTCATGGAACAAAACAGTATAAATCACCAGAATATATTTTGAAAAAACGTTATTCAGGTATGCCATCAACTGTATGGACACTTGGTGTATTACTTTATGATATGGTTCGTACGAATTTGCTTTTTTCATTTAAAATATTTTTTAATACATTATTTCATTTAGGTATGTGGTAGTTTACCATTTGAAAGTGAAGAAGAAATAACTGGGTATAAATTAGTTCTTAAACCACATCTATCATCAGAATTAAAAAATTTAATACAACGTTGTCTAGCACAAAATCCTGATCGACGACCGTCTCTTGAATCATTACTTGAACATGTTTGGGTCAAAGGTTAATATATTCAATGGATAAAAAAAAAACGCAAAAATATTAAAATAAATCCGTGTGTATAAATGTCTCGCAATTTCTTTTTGTTCTTTCTTTATTCATTTATTATCAACAGTGAGTTTGTGTGTTTGTTTTTTTTTACAAAGAGAAAATCAATATCTATCCATCTAATTATTCACTGCGGTTGTAGTCGTTTGTTTCTTTCTTCTTGTGCAGCCCGCATTTATTTTTTGTTTCAAACGTGGGCTTTGCTCCCATCATTCATCTCCTAGATTAATCAGGAATTATTTCTTCTTGCTTCCATGTAGGCAAATTACTGTACGTGCGTGCGTCGTTTCTCAGTGATAACTGTTCAACAAATTGCTCGCGTACACGTCATATATCTATCATATGGTTTTTTTTCTTTCTGGTTGAGTTAGACTGCGTAGTAGATTAGACGAATGTGCGATTGTTCATTCATTTCTTTTTTTTCTTTTTTGAATATATACGGAAAAAAGTGCTGCACTTTGTTTTTTTGTGTCTTCTTGCTTATTGTTCAAACCAAATGTCTGATAATTCTTTGCACACGAAAAAAAAATCTTGTCTGTTGTTTTGTTTTTCATACCTCTGTGACGAAAAGAAAAGAAGAAAAGCAAAAATCTCAAATTGTTTGAAAATATTTGTGTATGTGTGTGGATGAACTTATGTCATTTCTTTTTCCTTTGTTTGATTTGTATCGTCTTTATTGATCGTCGGCTATATCTGGTGTTTCTCTTTTCTGTTTTCTTTTTTTGAAAAAAAACAAACGAGAAAACGATGAAAGTTATTAGTTTTTGTCTCTGTTTTGTCTTTAAATATCTGTCTTTGATCGATTCTGATGAATAAAAGCAAAATATGTAGTTATATTCAAATATTTTTTCATTGAAAAATAGAAGACTATAGCTATAATGTGGATTGTGTATTGCTATTTGAATCGAAGAGAAGTCATTAATAAGAGAACTTCATTCATTGAGTATAGACTTTTCATGAAACGATAATAGAAATAAGTGTACTTCATTATTAAGATTTTCTTTAGCGAGTTCAAGTAAATCGTATTGCGACGGAGACAAATTGACAACAGCTATATTTTTAAGTTTTCTTCTTGATGGTAATAGCTAGCAAGAATTTGAGCAAAACAATTGTATACCTAGAAGAATTTTAAATTAGGATTATTCGTTGAACTGAAAACTCCAACAAAACTGCGTGGATGAAAGTCTATGGAAAACCAAACATCTCCTAAATCTAGCTTTCTGACTTCAATTTGGAGCTTTTAAGAAGAGATTTTATTTGACAGGCCAAGGTGAAACGTTTCCGACCCCTCTATGACCTTCTTTCATTGTACTGCATTCAATTTACACAAGGCCCGAAAGCGTCAAGCATGGCAAAAGCATTGAAATTTTCGATGAAAAAAAGAGAAAAATATTTTTTAGATCTTTTGTCAATAGAATGCAGTTCAATGAAGAAAGGTTGGAGGTGTATATCACCTTTACTCTATCAAACAATGTTTTCTTAAAATCTTCGAATAGAAGCTGAACAGCTGGTTTTGGAGGTCTTGTTTGCTGCAGATTCTAATCCAAGCAGTTTTGTAGGAATCTTCGAACTTACCGATCGCAATAGAGAATCTTTTCAGCTACACAATCGTTTTTCAGATTCTTACTAGCTATTAACATCGAGAAGAAAACTTGAAAATAAAATTGCTCTAAACTTATGTTTGACACTATACATGTTATCGTTATAATGTATTTCTAATAGTTGCCACTTCAGCTCCATTTTGTACTTTAATTTAACATAGACTGTAGAAAAGTCAAAACGTTTTGTTCGCGTCACGTAGAAACAGCATACAAAGTAATCTTATTTAAATTGAATGATTTTGATAAAGAGTTTGTCGTCGCCAATGAACCTTATTTCCATTTCGATTTTTGGCCACGAACATGTATAAAAGTGGCCACACAATAAATTACGTGTTATTGAGGACGGTCTCTTTTCTTTTATCTCTCTTTATGAATCGTCTTTGTTGTTTAAACAACGAAGACGATTCATAAAGAGAGATAAAAGAAAAGAGACCGTCCTCAATAACATGTAATTTATTGCGTGGCCACTTTTATACATGTTCGTGGCCAAAAATCGAAATGGGAATAAGGCTCATTACAAAAAAAATTCACAGAAGAAAAGGATTAAAAATATGTTTAATAATAGGACGTCTGGACAATTATAAAATATCTTTTCATTTCGAACACGATTAATGTGTAACAAAAAATATGTCGCAAGAATGGAATTCAATTGTTCTTTTTTTTATGAAAGAAGTATACATATGTGTGACATACAATGAACACGTTAGCATTTAATTAACAGTAGTCATGAAAGGTCCTACTAACAGATAAAAATCACTTAAACTTAAATCTTTTTGCCTGATATTTTTACAAGAAATAGAGTTCCGTAAACTTTGATTGCAAGCAACAACACAAAGTTGATCGGTCTTAATAGATTGGATTCAGAAAAAATACACTATTTTTCTTCTGGGGCCTTAAAAGAGGCCTTTTTTTATACGTTTCCGATTTACCATTGTTCTGAAGCGTTGTTATCTATCCTTTTATTGACAAATAGAACCTCTTATGTCATTACTGTGTCACAGATAAGACATTCTAATCTACTATGTTTCTAAGGTGCAGTAGTGTTTCAATTATCTGAAATAGCTTTCGCATGAACCTCTGCTTTATCCATAGTTATAATCATGAAAATTTCAGGACAAATAGTTGAATATATTCGGAGTTATAGCTTATTTTTTGACGAATTTTATCAACTCTCATGCTAATAATATTCAAAGAAAACTTCATAAATTAAGCAATTACAATCTTTTGACATAAAGTTTTTATTAGTGATAGAAGCAGTACTGAGCCGTTGAATCAGGTGTCTTACGCTATGAAATGTCTTACTTATTCTGAAATTATTCTCGTCTAAATAAAAAATTTATGTTGGCCTTGTAGCTAATTCGCTTGATGGTCGATCAAATTCTGATTGTTACTTTCAGTAAATGATCATGCGCTCTATTTGTCACCAAAATATAGAACTAAAGGATTCACGTTTCAATATTTTTTACCCGTTTGCTGGATCATCAACGACAACTATATATTACATGCATAGATGCATATCTCCGTTGTTGATTTGTTTTTGTTTTAACCACTAAAAACAATAGTATGTGAATAAACTTCAGAATGGACTTTAACTAGGAGTTACAGTTACCATTTCTAATTTAAAATATGTACTAGATGAATAAAAGGGAACGTTTCACAAGCAAGTTTAAGACGAGAACATATACATCATCCATCAATCAAAATCAAAATTATGAAAATTTCAATAAATAAATTTGTATTGCAACAGATCTATTATCGTTGAGAGCCTAAAGAAGTCATTCCAATATACAAAAAATTATTAATTTTTTTTTATTTAAATTTGTAGGGCATCTACTAAATAGTAAAAATCATCATTGAAAAAAATTGCAATTTCTCTTAATATATATCTCTTAACTGTCATGTTCATCATGATAGATTGAAGGCACTTCTAATGAATATCAAACATCAAAATCAGTAAAAAAAAAACAAAATAGAGTATTTTAGTTGAACGGAAACGATATTAAATAGGATATGCAAATACACTTGTGCATTGAAATGTTTAATAGTTAATTATTGTATTTATTCTTCGTTCATATTTATTTTCAATCACATTTATATATTGATGATTGTCTTATAAATTGAAACGATCATATCTTACAAATAATTCTACAATGAAAATTATTTGTTATATTTTTTTTAAACAGCATTGAGTTTTTTCTTGAATACACACACAATACAGAACTGCTGCTAAACTAAGTAAAGACAATAACATCAAGGACATATCAATTGAACAAAAGTAACTTTTTTCTGACTAACTATAACGTCATTGACTGCTGTGAGCGTAAACCGTGACGGTGAGTCACCAGAGCACACATCTATAATATGTTACAGAAGCGACAGAATGGTACAGAGCAACAGAGAATACGCTTCTTCATGTTTTTCCTATTGATATGTTACGCCAAGCGAACGAATGAGAAAAGAAACGAAAAAAAACCAATGCTGTTGATCATGTGAGATACAAAAATCGATTGACGCTGTTACTCATTTAAAAGGAACGTACCTTTTGACGAGCTCGTTAGTGTGTTTGTTTATAGTTCTTGACGTCAAATCAACATGGTCGAATGTTTTAATCCTCAAACTGCAAGAAGTGAAAAATGTTCATCTCTTTTATCGTCTTATGTGTAAAGCAATTAAAATTTTATAAAAAAGTTTAACGTTTTCTTATTGTTTTTTTTATTCTAGTGCTTTGGGGATTATAATACCATCATGTCTTTTATTAATTTTCGTGCTTGTGTATATGTGTATTCGATATAGACACAAACAATTAAGAAGACGTATGAGGAAGATGAAATTTTGCATTTTTTATCTGCTTTTTGTTTGCCTTCTAGAACAACAGCAATGTGATATGACAACTATTATAGGACCTTCCATAAAGCATGCCCAGGTAATGGGAGAAGATCAAACATTTTTGGACATCCAGACACTTACTATGAACATTTTCGCTTTTTTTCACACAAGTTGTAGCGAAATTTTGAAGATTACGAAGGAACGATCTCACCTGATCAACCACTTTCTCACCAAAAGCTAGTGAATTGTTGGGTATGGACTATGCTGATATAGAATATGACCATGAGAAATCCCATTTGGTCTTCATATGCTGCTTTTTTTCAGACTGACAAACTTTTTGCTAAAAAATTTATTTTGGTACGTTTCGATTCAAGAGCATATCAAATCACCCAGAAAACACTAACTTTTTCTATTTCAAATAATTTTTTCGCAGAAAATACAGTCATTTTAACTCATACAACAGATATACAAATTAGAGGTCTCAATGGACTCGACTGAGTCGGAGAAAGTTGGTCCAGCTCATGCGCTATGCATCCAATTACGTTAAATTAATTTTTAACACGTAAATGAACACGCATCTTTTGAGTACCAGTAATTAATGTATAGACAACTGATCGATAACGTATTTGACAACTTGAAAAAACTTCAATTCTTTCAAACTTACAAGCATTTTCCGATATTTTAGTGTTTCAAAAGAAATTTGATACGTTTGGATGTATATTGTTTTGTATGTGATGATGAACTAGCATCGGTAGTTGAAGAAAAAGTGTTGCTGCAAATGGATGATTGAGAAGGTTCAATAGGAATAGAATTAGAATCAGAAAAAGTAATTGATGACGAACGAGGGGAGCTTGACAAGCACTTTTTCTTCTATTTTCCTATATATATTTGCTGTTCATTGCAGAAATGTTTTACCCAATGGCAGAATTATATATTACTTCCGAAAACAAATTTAGTGAAAACAGGCAACATCTTTTGAAAATTTCATATTTTATTCAAGATTTGGTCCATGGACGTCATCGAAATATCGAATTATCCCAGCTTGGCCCATTGAGATTTCTGATACATATCAACATTTCAATGTGAATATCTGCAAGATGATATTATTTTACTGAAAACTCATTTTTGAGAAACAAAATGATTATTGTCTTATAGATAATTCGACATACTCTATAATCTAAGTAGATCCACAACGATTTTGACAAAATTTTTGTTAATTTGGAAAACCGATTTGCAATAAAACCAGCATATAAAGATCTAAGAGGCTTTATTGTGGTCATGTTCAGAGTCGGTATTGTCAATAGTCCACAATTCACTAGCAGTCGACGAGAACGCGATTGATCAGTTGAAAATATTCTTCCGTTAGTTTGTTGTGAAGAGAATTTGTAAATAGAAAATGCATTAGTTGAATATGAACACAAGTGTTGAAATAATGGAAGATTATGTAACATGGGCAACTAGCTATTTTCTTGAGCAGCAGTATGAATCTTATTGAATTTTCGAGTGTCATTTGTATTGAACTTCATTTCTTGTTTTTACTATATACTGCGCATTAAAAGACAATGTATTTGAAAAGCAAAAACTTTGCAATATATTATGTTTTTGTTTGTTGTTGATGAAATTTGTGTTTATTCATTTCTATTTTCGGTAGCAAGCTATTTCTACAAAGTTATTTTTTTTAATAATGGACAATGAGAAGATGGAGGGTGAAAAATGTGACTTTTACCTGGACATAAATCCTTTATGGATGGCCCCTATTCCAATTGAAAATAATGATGAACGCCAACAACCACCATATAATTATCCATGTCCACCTCGATACACGTCTGTGTCAGACGACATATTCGGCAAACCACCATCGTATGAGCAAACTGTGCAGCAACTATCGGAGACTCATAATAATAATGAGAATTCAATGGAAAATCCTCCTGTAACTTTTCCAGTTACAACAACGATAACATCATCGAATCGATCAACAGAATCGACGAGAAATCAATATTAATCTTTTCTCTTTTGTGAAATAATACTACATCTTTTTAAACTTATTCTTAATATTGTTAGGACATTGTTGAAGTGCGACATCTTAGATTAAATTTTTATTTTCCTTGGTACACAATTAATTAATACTCTAACTATTGTAAAATTAAGTTTTATCCAAAAAAAAATTTGTAATATTCATTGAACTCAATATCTTTCATCCATATTTTGCTAAGCAGAGGTCATTCCATAATTTACCATCAAACCGAACATTAGCGAATCGTCGTTCATGGGAGAAAAAAAAGTAAATAAATAAACAACTCTGCCTTGTATTGACTTTCTTGTTCGAACTCTCTTAACAATAAAGGAAAAATAGAAAGAAACATCAGTAATATTTGTCAGTTCATGGTTAAAATAAATAAAAACATTCTATTTCGTATTAGTCAGAAGATTACGAAGTTCTATTGAATAATCGATCAGTTACATTGTAGATATTATCTCTTTCATTGAGCATCAAGCAAATAAAGAAACCACATCGTAAACAATTGTCAACTGCATGTATTAAAGTATATTAATACTAACAAATTCTCTCGTTGTTGTTGTTGTCGCCTCCTTAAGGCGTTCGATCTGATTAAATATAATTCATTATAATAAACACAAATGAACGATCTCAGTGTTGAAGTAGGACATCCAAATGGAGCCTATTACAAAGTAAGTTATTATATACTGTTTTCGTAAATAAAACAATTTTATATAGGCATATGTGCATGATGTGGATGCAACTGGTATTGATGTCAAATATGATCAAGAGTAATTAACTAAATATTAAATTATAATAAAATAATTAATTTAATCAATCTTTTTAGTTTTTTCCCTCCAACAAAAATTCCCTTTTCTGAAAATCGTGTTCGACTTCCACCTGAATCAGCTGATCTGAAAAAATTATCGCCTGGTGATCCATGCGAAGTATAAATATCAATTCATTAAAACATTAACATTTATATATATATATATATATGAATATTCTCCAGGTACTTTCAAAAGCAAAAGAAGATGAACCACTTGGTTGGTGGCCCGCTACTGCGAAAATGTTCAAAGGCGATTTTTTTGTTGTTGATTATAAAGTCAGTGCTCAAGGCGCTAGTTATTCGGATATTATATCTAGTGATAAAATTCGTTGTCCAAATACAAAGTATATATTTTATCAATATATGTTAACATTTAATACTAAATATTGATTTGTTTTTAGTCCTCCGATTACTTATTCAATGTTTAAACGTATAGAGTTACCTGTTCCTAAAGAGATTCAAGAAGCGTAAATTTTGTTTTATTTTTGAAAATGATCAAATTCTTGTTTGTTTTTCTTTTTTGTCTTCATAGATGTAGTAATCCAGCTAATCATAAAGATTTTAAACGAACAACTGGTGCTACAATTGTTCGATATGACAAACAAAATTTATGTCTTGTGGTCATTGTGAGTTGAGGTTTTTTCAAAGTTATTCTTATATTCTTTTTTCTTTTTAGTCAGATAATGATAGTACTCTTCGTCGTGCTCAAATATTATCTGAAATGCATTTCCGAAATTTACGTTCAAAAGCCAAACTTGTACAAGAAACTGAAAAAGTTTCCAAGCAACTTGAAGTAAAATAGAACAATTCCTGGTAATATATCATGAAGAATTTCTTCTTTTCTTTTTCTCTTCAGCGAATCATGGTTAATCAAACATCAAAATTTTTTGAAAAATTTACTGTAAAAAATGAGTTAATGGGTCTCGCCATTGGTTCACATGGATCAAATATAATAAAAGCACGCGAAGTACCAGGTATAACAGCAATTGAAGTGGAAGATGATACTTGTACAATTAAAGTATTCGGCGATGTAAGTAGCTTAGTAAAATGCGCTTTAAAAGGAATGTTGATGCATATAATGTAGTAATTGGTATCCACCCTCCCCTTGATCCTGATAGACGCTCTCCAGAGACCATCAGAGACTGTGACAGACACTCTCCAGAGACCGTAACAGGCGCTCTTCAGAGGACGTGACAGACGCTAGCCAGAAACCATAAGAGAATGCAGCAGACGCTAGCTAGAGATCATCACAGACCTTGACAAATGTTGTTAAAATACGATGGCACACCATATATCAATAGCGGCTCATTACGATCTATTAACTACTTCCCTATTGCATTTCTGGTGGATTAAGAAAAAAAAAGGGATGAAAAACTATGTACTAAGATATATAGAATAAAAAAATCTTTCTGTGATTAATAACAGTGCGTACATCGTGTTTCATATTTTAATCCCGTATTGATTGCGCTTTTTTATTAATGATTAAAAATATATAAGAAAAAAAATGTTTTTGTTTTCTGTAGACTGAAAAAGCTGTTAAAGAAGCACGTAGTATACTTGAATATACTGAAGATATTGTTTCGATTCCACGAGAACTTATTGGTAAGAAATAATAAAAAAATTATTTGAAATAAGTTTGAATATATTTTTTTAGGCAAAGTTATTGGTAAAAAGGGTCATATTATTCAAGAAATAGTTGATAAAAGTGGCGTTGTTCGTGTTAAAATTGAAGGAGATAATGAACAAACACCATCACGTGATGAAAATAGTCATCCTGTATGTTTTGATAACTGAAACAATAAAAATATTTATAAAAAGAGTTCCATTTTTTTAATTTTAATAGAGTCAAGTTCCGTTTATATTTGTTGGTACAGCTGAAAGTATAGCCAATGCTCGAGTGCTACTTGATTATCATTTGGCTTGTTTAAAGGTATATATATAGCTGTTGACGAAGTTCAGATGAATTAAACATATTTTCTTTTCAAAGGAATTTGATGAATTACAGGAAAAAAAAATTCAAGTTAATGAACAATTTCGTACTATTGCTGGTCCACAACAAGGAACTGGAATGAATGTAGCTAGTGGTATGGGTTATCAAAGTGGACGATATCCACGGTAAGAAAAAAGTCAATAAGGGGACTTTAGAATTTATATTAGTTAACTTTATGTAAATGTTTTGATTTTAAGCGACCCTCCCCCTTTCAATCATCGTGAAAAAGGTCTATCTCTGTTAGAATTATCGAAGGTAAAATAAATGCATAAAAGGACAGGTTGAAGCCGGATCTTTCATAAACAAATATGAATATTCTCGAAGGAACTTCGTTGTAACTAATTGCTTCTTTTTTTTTGTTTGAGAGCCTGTAAAGCTGCAGTACCCATCTGTTGATAGAAAAAAAGCACGTCCATAAATAGATGACTATTTTTCGAGATATTGAATTTGTCATCCTTTTTCTCCTCATAAAAACTAAGAATATAAAAAAAAGCTCTATCAGGCACTGTAATCTAACATTTTACCCTTGTTTGCTAAATATATCTCGAAAATGTCATGGTATAGGACTGAAAAGTTCATGCAATTTGAATATACCTGGCCCAAGATCAATTTTATGAGACATGATCTAAAAGAAACCTTGAAGTAAAGGGGTAGAAATTTGAACTCCTTTTTCCACAGATATCCTCGCAAAGACTCGTCATAGTCAGTGACAGACATAATCACGAGATCAAAGTCCACTGCGAAATCGGTATGATAGTTGTCTTTTACTTCCCTTTCACACTCACTGCAATATATTGCGATTAATTCTGTGTCGACAAAGCCAAAATATAATAAAACAGGCCTTTTGAATATTTTCTTGTGTTCTGACATAGATGCGGCTGGCAACAGCATTGCATTTTGACATCAAGTCTATCGAGGGAAGATTTCAAAGTGATAAATCGCTTTTAATTTGAGACTATATTCGATTGCACGACTTATTTAGTAGGTAAATATCTTAAGTGGTTCCAGCTGTTAGATCTTTGTCACTGAAATATTGGGTGTGAGTGCGGATATTTCTTGAAGGACTCCAGTTTTTAAGCACAATCATACTTTTGAATTTTAACCTGAAACTGCCAATATAATGGCTGCGATTAGACTAGCCTGTGGAAGACATAGATGTTATTTAAAGATTCATATCTCAGAGAGACTTTGTCAAATAAACCTGATATGATAGGGCCCCTATATCGGTAAAGCCTCATGTCAAATTCAAGCTTGTAATTTTGCTTGAAAACTGAGACCTTGTAGGAACAATCAACTAAAAATTCGATATCTTAGCAACAAAGGTCCAACAGCTCAAATTATTCTAGGTTTTTTACCTACTCATTAGTCTGTATTGGTTGAATATAGTCCCAACTACAAACAGACTTATTACTTGGAGATCTTCCTTCGTAAGTGCAAGAACTATGATTGCCAATAATTTTCAAAGTATACTATGTTAACAATTATCTTTTACAATATCAGTAGCTCCATCGTATGTCATACTTGAATTCTGCAAAAATTGCACTAACAGTTTTTTTTTTGAAAATGGAAAGATCCTAAAGAAATTTCACATCATGAAAATGTATCACATGAAGTCTGAATTTCAGTAACACTTGCATCTCTTGGTTTCATATATTTATCTTTAGAATGTACTAATTTATGTCGACATGAAATTTATCAACTGTTGAAGTTTCAACTGTTCCATTGTTTTTATTTTAGTTATGAATTTGATCGAACGAGTAATACTGGTAATGCACGAAATTATCGTGATACAGGTTATCAACAACAATATTCTCAACAACAACGTGCTGATAATTATAACAATCAACAACCACGTCGATCAGCTAATTTTACCGGCGGCAATCCTAGTCGTGGACGTCGAGGTGCAGCTAGTAATTCATATCGTGGTGGTACACATAGTGATGCTGGTACTGGTGGTAAGTTTTAATCTAAAGAATATCATTTCGTAGATATTGTCCCATATGAGAAATAAGGATAATCATATTTATCTTCACAGACGAAGCCAGCGAGTGTGGTGATGCGGCATCATCGTCGGTTAGTACCAGTCGAAAATATCGTGACTGGTCGGCACAGGTCGATAGTGAACAACAACAAGAGGCTGGCTACAGTACAGACAGTATGATACATTCGGCTACACTACCCAGAGGTGCTGGTGGACGAGGTGGTCGACGTGGTTGGAAACGTGGTCGACCACCATTACCTATTCATGAAGGTGTGCATATGAATAAAGTCTGCTATTTTCATTTCTTTTTAACATTTTTTGATACATAACCAGATAATCGATCGCATGTTTCTAAACACAACACTTTTTATCGCTAATAACATAAGCATGTTTTCTGTGTTTTACAGAAAAATTATAAACCTATTAAATTAATTATTAATGCTTGGTTGTTTTTAGGTTATGGTGATCGTCGTCGAAATAATGACAATGAAAGTACTACATTTGATACACAAGATATAAATGGTTATTCTATTTTTAAATATTATTTCAATATTTAATTTGTTTTCTTCTTGTTTTTAGAAGGTCAACAACAGTATAATGATCAATATTCATCACCACGCTATCGATATGGTGGTGGTCCTCGTAGTAATCGTGGTAGTTATCGATATAATAATAATAATAATAATAACAACAATGAATTTTATGAAGAGAATTATAATAGCGGCGGACAATCACAACAAATGTCAACAAAAAAATCTCAACAAACTTCGTCGAATAATGGAATCGATACAAATAGTGTAGCAACATCAGAAACAATAAATGGTGGTAGTGGATCGAAAAGTCAACGAACTTCAAAACAACAGAGCAATGGTGTCAAATAAAGATTTGTTCAGAATAGGAAAAGTTAAAAGCAATCCACATACTCGATTTCTTTTTTATTATTATTATTCTTGTCACCTATGTGTGTGCGTGTGTGTGGTTTCTTTTGTTTTCCTGGTTGCTGCTTTCTCATGTTTTGTACATGCTTTTATTCGTCGGCTTGATTTCATCGTTATAAACGGAGTAAATATAATGACTAAATCAACATCTGTCTTCCAGCAACCAAATTATTAACAAAGCAAATTCGCTCGTCTTCTTTTGTGATCCTTATCCTTTGACGTGTACGTTCTTATATTCTCTGTTCATTTTTTTCTCTTTGTCCTCTAAAGTCTGAACTCGTTTTTCTTTCCTTCTACTGATGACGTTAATCATGTGTAAGTGTTTGTCTATATGTTGATTGTATTGCACCAGCGAACAACATGCATCGTCACATACATGAGAATCAAGAAATCTTCATTTGTTGTGTTCGTTTCTCTTTCTCTTTCTTTTCTTTTTTGCTCTTGCGTTTTTTTTTCATTGCTCTTTTTTTTCTTCTTTTTCGTCAAAAAAAACCAAGTATTAAAGACATACGAGATGGTGACAAACAGAATGTAAAGTTCACAAAATATTTTCAATGATAAACACAAGAAAAAAGGAAGGAGAATATATAGATGATTATGTATTTAAACAAACAACGGAGAATGAAAACTGAAGTAGATTCACCAGGAATAATCTCGAATTCTCATTCGTAACAAACATTTTTCTTACTCTGAATAATTCGTATGTGTATATTATATTGCACTTAGATGTTCTTTTATCAAATACATCGGTTTGCAAAACGTATGGTATGGATCATAGTTTTGTATCACGTGACTTTAGTCACGAGATAATGTAAACGAATGAAAAAAATCAAGAGAAAAATGGTCTAAGTTTTATTTTTATGGTAGAAGATACATATGTATTCCGTTTATATTTGTGTTATGCTTGTTAAAAGATTATGAAAAAGAGGAGGAAAAGAAAAATTAGTTTTATAAATGTTCCTGCGGACTAAATACTTTCAAGTCCGCGTATGCTCGTGTCTATAAAAAAGGAGAATCGTGTATTTTTCTGTATTCTAACTTCAGCTCACCCGACAACAATACAACTACACGTGCTTTGCTTCTATTCGTTATAATTGATTTTGTCTATGAGTTTAAACGGTAGTGATCCACGTACATATAAAAGTAAGATATTATACAAAATATTTCTTTTATTTTAATATTCGACATCATATTTCCAGAGATTCAGGATGATAGCAATACTGTTGATCATCAAGATGGAGTATCAACATCAAATAATCAAAATATGAATGACACAAATAATTGTACGAATCAAACAGATGCATCAATATCATACAGTCATTCATCATCGCAAGTAACAAGTAACACTGATCCATCTAATCAATCATCAAGTGATCATGGTAAAACATGCTGATTTCTTTAAAAACTCTTATTAATTATAAATAAAAATTAGCGCATCTTTCAGTATGGCTTATGTAGAATATTTTCATGTCTGGATTTCTATTTCTTGTTCAATTTTATAGTATTTAAATATAATAACTTGTTTTTTAAAAAGAATGTCTTTTTTTCTTTCATATTCATTATAGAAATAGTTTGAGATTAAAGGATAATCATCATCGTGTAAAAGACAACATGCTCATGAAGTTCAAAGGATACAGAAATGTTATTTCACAATATGAAAAATTCAATTATCTTCTGTTGACACTTTGTTATTTCTTTATTTTTACCGTCATTTAAATCTTCAAAATTCTAGAATGTTAATGTTATTGTTATTGGTTACCTTTTTGAGGACTTTTTTCTTTCGCAGTCAAATAATTAAAGGGTTGCTGCTGCTTTAAGTAAATGATAGAATACTTAACAAGCACTTTACAAGAAATTGTTGAGACAGGTTTTTCGTTATGTACTCAACTTCAACATTTACAAATATGTCGCAGTTGTTCTATGTTATCACATGAAAAAAGAACAATAATAACGGTTTCATATCAATGACTAAATGGCAGATTCATCATTGTGTTACTTTATAAATTCAACTCTTCAGATTGATAGAGACTTCTTCAATTTAATTCAGTGACAAAAAAGTTTTTATGAAGAAGATCTATAATAATCTATATTTAGCATCTCGATAATTCTAAGAGTTATCTCAATTATTCATTATTGATTGAATATTAATCTATACTAATTAAAGTTTACTTAAGTGTTTTTGTAAACAATTTCAAATCAACTATTTTTGGATAGAATTACAATCGTCTACATTACTCAAGTATTCTTATATAAATAAAGGATAAATATAGACCTATTGCATAAAAAACCTGATATAAAAAATATTGTCTTAAAACTCATTTTCTTTTTCTTTCATAGGTCATCATTAAATGATATTCATGAGAATATTTCATACAAAACAGTTTCACAATTTTTTTTTATTTTGTTTGAAATGATCTCACAATGTAAGCGAAAGAAAATAGACGAAAATATTTGAATTATGCGTGAGATTCATATTCATTGCATTAAAAAATAGCAAGTGATAAAGAATAGACCAATCCTCTTTTATTTCATTATAATTTGCTACTAGAGGAGAAAACAAATTTGATTCTTCGTGATCCATTAAAAATATACCAGACAGTGAAATATTATGCTATGCAATAGCAATACAGTGGGTGCAAATTCTAAAGTCACGCGTAATTAAACTCCAGCAAAACAATAGATAATATTGTCTAGCCTTCGATCCTTGACAAGAACATTAGTTTTCCTTACAGTTACATGTCTTATGAATAAAAATTTTGTGAATGTGTTTTTCATCATTATCTTCCAAATAATAAAAATAGATTCACAAAACCTTAGCTGCGTCTATATTATCACTAGATCAAACCTGATAGGATTGTTACATGCTCAAACATTGATATAGTCATCTAACAAGAGTCAAAAGATTTTTAAAGACATCTTGATGCTCAAACAAGCCGCTTCGAACAGAAAATAAAACATTCTCCTCTAATCTTCAAGACAAACGTCACGTAACTCTATAAGACGACAGTTAATTATTATAATTGTGCACTATTTCATAAACAATATCATTTTCCAACAATGCATGAATTGCATATTAATACCAAGTAAGTGATAATATTTAATACTAAGATGCGTGCATTGACCCATATAAGTCAAGTTGTAGTTGATTGTAGAACTTTCAAAAATGATGTTAACAACTGATCAATCATTGTCGATTTCAACTGATGACAACGAGAAAAACGAACTATAATAAAATGTATGTTTTGTTTTTCATGAAAATAGATTTTAAATTATATGTAATTTTGATTTAGTTATTTTATTTAGTTTTCTTTGTTAAAAGTTAAAAATAAAACAACATAACATAAAAGAAAATAGTCTTGTTGATGTATAGGAAAGGCTATACTTAGATTGCACAAATTCATGAACACAATAATCTTACTAGTGAGACATTTGTTGTCGCATCAGTCAATATTCGTTCTACATTATTCTCACCAAGAAGTCAAGATTTGATTTGTTTTCAAGCAAAAATCTTGACTGACAGTTAGGAAAAGGTCCAACAATATTCATTAGTGTATTCTGAAAAGTTTTTTGTTCTTTTCCAGCGAAATCGAATTTTGCTTTTTGATGTTCTGTTAGAAAACAGATATTTTCGCTTTCCAAAAAAAATGAGGCATCCTCCAATGTTGGTTGCTTCTGGCGATCACTATAATTTTTATGACAATTTTTTTTGCATTTAATATGCTTCAAAACGCGTTGAATACTTCTCCTAGACATGAAAGGTTGTTTAGTCAGCTAAGCCCCCTCCCCCTCCCCCAAAAAGTCAATTTTCATCAGAACTATCGAAATTCATGTAAATGCATGAGAAGATAGCTCGATAGACATGATTTTTTATTTGGCACCGCGTTTTTTTGCGAAAATTTTTTAATAATTTATGTCATCAGTTGCTTGAAAAATAAGAGGTCTTTAGCAAAAGAAGAGAACCTTTTTCGTTTTTACTCTAGCTCTGCTTTTGTTTGATCGTGCACCCTAGAATTCTCGAGGGAGCTTCATTGTAGACGATTGTGTTTATTTTGTTTGAAAGAGCATGTCAAGATGCAGGACATGACAGTTTTCTTACTATTATATAGAAGAGTACTTTTATAACTAGAACGCCATGTTTTAAGAGCTTTTCGATACATTGTACTTGTTATCTATTTTCCTCAGCTAAAAAGTAAGAATTAAAAATAATAGAACTCTGTCATATCCTGCATCTTGACGTACTCTTTCAAAAGAAAAACAAAATTGAGTGTATAAAATGAAGGTTTATGGAGAATTTTAAGGTGCCAAATGAGCTGTTTTTGATTCTTGTTTGTTGAATATCTCCCAAAAATGTCATGGTATAGAGTTGAAAATTTTAAGATATTGGAATGTACCTGACCTAAGATCAATTTTTGAGGATGAAGCCTTAACGAGTTAGTGTCTTTATCGTGGTCAATTTGATATACTATTCAACCATCCCCATTAAACGTTTCAGACTTGAGATTCACATTGAACAATATAATAATTCTCATCGAACATTATTATTCATAGATTTATGGGTTCTTATGTTGAAATCAACTTTATTATGTAGAAAAAGTATCGATTTTCTTTTTTGTTTTGTTTTCGTATGAAACCATAATGTTTCATTGGACCAATAAACTTCTATTATTATAGAGCAGAAAATTCTTCATCTTGTTTTTGTCTACGAATTCGAATTCTATGCATATTCTTTATTCAAATATAAAAATAGATAATTCTTTGTTTGTAATTAATTGTATTCGAATAGTGAAAGAAAAAGATTTATTGTCTATTTTTTCTCGTACTTTTTGACACAGATTAATGCGAATTTTATCTTTCTAAAAATGCATTTATTATGACATCAAAGTATGAAATATATCCTTGATAAAAATGTTTTATAGACATTCGTGAGAATTTATTATTTTTGTTTAACATGATCCACAGTATGTTGTATTAATAATAGCATTATATACATTTACATAAGTTCGAATTCTTTTAAGAAATAATATTTAAACATGGTTGGCATCATTTCTAATGGAGTCTTGTAGAACATAATTTATAAAAAATTGAATGTAATCAAAACTCAAAAAATAATTAAAATTGAATTTTTAATCTTATATTTCGATTACACTAAGATTTCATTCTAATCTTCTTAGGGTACGATTTTTTTAATTATTACAAAAATACGGAAAAAATACTTGATGTTATTGTCTCTTGTAACTTTTGTTTTGATTTCTATGAATGCTAATCGATGAGCTCTTTAACCGTTTTCTTTATAGATTGTATTCAGTAACATTTCATGTATGCCTATGTGAAATAAACTATGCGAAGTGTTTCTATTTTGTAAATAAAAGATCTTTGCACCACATGTCGGTTCTATTTAGCATCGATTAATAAGTCATTAGAGAAAATCAAGACAAGTCTGCTAGAATGAAAGTTTTACGCTTGTTTTAAATATATATTTACAATAATGGAGGAACCAAGAATGGGCTCACTAGGAAAGTCCCCAAACTGATTAATCGCTCATGATTTGTGACTATGTGTATTATGCAGACCCAACTTAGTTTTGAATGTCTTGAAAAGAGTTTGTGCCCGTAGCTTATTGCTGTAGAGATATTATAAATTTACAGTAGTTTTTAAATGAATTGCGAATTTCGACTTGAAACTTTGCATTAATATATGAACGATGTAAGAAATTTGCTTTTAGCATAGCTGTATTTTGAGATAGAAGCAATAACAAGAGCTGAAACATTCACAAGAAGTTATTCCCGTTAAGATCGATCTCTATGCAGAGTTTGAAGTCGAAATTCAAAAATCACTTTTTCTGGTGTTCGTGATGGAGACTTACGGCATTCAATTAAAAATTACTATAAATTTTAATTATCTCCACATTATTAAGCTAAGAACATAAACTGTTTTCAAGGTATTCATAGTTCATTTGGATCTATATAATACACATAGTCTCGACTTGAAAGAGATTTGTTAGTTGAGAGACTTCCCTCGTCTGTTCACCCTATTAGACTTTGAAAGCTATGTTAAAGTAACCCTTTGTGTGGGTTAGGATGAACTCATTTTAAGCTGAAATATTGTTTCCCCTACTACTTTAGAAGTTTTTCTTTCTAACATACAGCTCGTTCATTTAGAACAAATATTTGATACAAGGAAAAAACAGCATCTATACAAAATTTCTCTTCTACATTATTATTAAAATAACTCCACATCCAATTATAAAAACGTCCTTTTAAACAAACAATGTTTTTTACTTATTTAAATATCTCCTTACATCTAACCAGCTGAATATCAGACAAAAATTTTGATTCTTACCAGTAACTTAGAAGTGTACAAAAGAAATTGAAGAGACATAGTTTGCAAAAATGTTTACATACAAGTTAGTTTACACACAAAATATCTTTTGACTTTGACATAGAGATCGTTTCAAACTATCAGAAAATGAGTTTTGTTTTTTGATAGCATAGTTTACAAGCCTCAAAACGTAAGAATAACGGCGAATACTCAAAAGTTAATCATTTTATTCATACGATTTCGGTACATATTTTATCACAATTGAAGGAAATATATTTTCCAGTATTTATTTGTAAGAGAAAAAAATCTTTTTTTAAGTAGCAGATTAAAATAAAATTCTTCTTGTTTGAATTACTATTTTGATCCTTTGATAAATCCGATCTATTATTTATGATTAAACCCAAATCAATAGTAGATTTTCATATTTAGCTCAAGAATAATATAAAATCCTTTGAAATCATTTAGAAATTCAATGAAGAAAAAAAAATTATCTGAATTATCTAAAAATTTCTTTTTTTCTATTAGTTGTTGTTTCTTTTTTTTATTTTAAATTCTTGTTTTTAATCTTTTTTTAACGATGATAAATAACAAGATCAAAAACAATAAAAATCTTATCATTGATTTTAAGCTTTCTTTTTCGATACACCAACAGTACGACCACGTCGACCAGTTGTTTTTGTATGTTGACCACGTACACGTAAGTTCCAATAATGACGAAGACCACGATGAACACGAATTTTTTTCATACGTTCTAAATCTTCACGAACTTTTGTATCAAGACTGTTTGATGTTGCTTGTGAATATTTGCCATCTTTTATATCTTTTTGACGATTGAGAAACCAATCAGGAATTTTATATTGTCTTGGATTATTAATAATTGTTACAATGCGTTCGACTTCTTCTTCAGATAATTCACCAGCACGTTTTGTTCCATCAACATCAGCCTTTCGAATAACAACATGAGCAAAACGACGACCAACACCTTTGATTGCTGTTAAAGCATAACCAGCTTTTCGACGACCGTCAATATTCGTGTTAAGTACACGAAGAATGTGTTGAAATTTTTCAGGTTGAATTAGTGGTGATGACATGTCGTATGGAGATATTTAAAATCTAAAACAAAACAAAAAGCTATATGTATAGATATATAAAATGTTCGGTGAAGAAAATGTTGGAGTTAAGCTAAGTGAAACAATCATTGGATGAATATCGATAGGTTAAAAAATAAACAAGTAAACAAGAATATTCATTTACTATATGTATCAATTTTATCGAATTATTTTATTAAATAATCTTATGAAAAAATTATCTTTCAAATTAGATATTATTTATTTTACAACAAATATTATTATGATGTAAGTGCATAAGTGATTCATTGGATGGAATGAGGATATTTCTATGTAATGGTATAAAATAATGGCGGAACTGAATGTTTCAGTACACTTTAAAGATTATCGCCTAATTTCGCTATTTCGATTTAAAATCGAGTTTTATTATGAATATAAATGAGATTTACGATATCGGTTGATTATCGATAGAGAATTAAGCTTAGTAATTAGAGATGAATTGCGTATAAAAATTCGTGCAATCTACCATGAATGTATTTCGAGAAATCAATTGGAGTTGTTTTACACTGAAAGTTAGTGAAGGTTAAGTTGGATTGTTTATTATTAAAAGAAAAATATAAATCGTTCAATGATTCGAGGTAGAAATTAAAATTCACACATATCAATATTAACAAGTAGGTCAAAAAAGCCACTGAGTATTTATTGTCATTGTAAAACTTTATTTGTATACATCGATTTTTCAATATCATTATTGTTTATTTGTAGAAAATGTTATAAATACTCATTTGATCATGTTCAACAAGAAATCATCCTAACTTTTTAAACTTTTGTAAGATAGATGTAGCAAGTTTATGAAAAACTTTTTTTTTCTAAAATCATTTTTGATTACAAAACCCATTGTAGTAATTGTAGAAACTTCAATTTTTGAAATGTTCTCTTATAGTGGATGTACAAAACAATGTTCGAAGACAAGCATTTACTTTTCTAATCGACATAAATGAACATTGAAATTAATTCTTTAAAGAAGAGAATCTTTCTTAGCTGCAATTTAAAGAAACAGTCAGTTTTAAAAATTCGTTAGGTACTTTTTTGTTTTGATATTTATCTGAAAAAAGGAAGAGAGTCGATTTCTAAATCATTACTTTTGCATTCATAATTTTTGAAAACTATTTGCTCGCAGAATACACAGGACAAAAAAGCAATAACTGATGTCGGAAATATGAAAAGACATTAGTTTACATATAGACTATTTTTTTGTGGAATTTAATTCATCAAAAGAACTTTAATCATTACATTAAATGTAATAACTTTGATAATTGTTAAAAAATGAAGTTTCATTAGGTTTAGTATACATGAGTGAGAAGAGCAATTAGTTTTAACACTAGCTCGAGTAACTGTGTCTATTCTATGATAATAGCTTGTGTGTAATGTCGTTAAATTTGGTTGGACTTGTAAAAGAATACGAAAACATTTTGCGTTAGATTATAAATTCAGAAAAAGAAATCTGTTCTATTATAAATCTTTGATTTTGTTTTCAGATCACTCTATTCTAAAATGCCAATTTCATATACACCAGCGGCTCAACCAGTCGTTGTAAAATGGAGTGCATCCCATTTGTCAAATAATCTTACCATATATCGTCCCACGGAACCACGTCAATCGAAAATGTTTGGTGTATCACATAAAAGTGGTTTTGCTATGGTAGAAGTTAAATTTTATTAATAATAAACTACTTATTAAACCAATAATTTAGGCAACCGTATCCGAAGATGGAACTAAACAAATTCAAGGTCAAGTTATATGTCGAGCTATAGGAAATAATAATACTCCAGTACCAGAAAATGATGCTCGGTTTATTGCTTATGCTGTTCAAGTAAAAGGATGACCATTGAGAAAGATATGTTTTTTATTGCTTTTAATAGGCTGCATATGTTAATTTACCAGTTCGAAATTTACTTGTTTTAGCTTGTACAAAAAGTATTCAGGTAAGATATGACGAATGACTCATAACGAATGACCAGGTCTTTTTTTCTTTTTCGTAATAATTACGTTTTTTATTTAAAAACAAAATTTATGAAAAGGTACAGCGTGTGAAGCTGTATAAGTTACAAAAAAAATCTTATTTAATATGTGCCTTTGTTTTTGAAATGGACGAAATTCTGTCCAACTAATTTTTGGATGCTGCGAACAAGATCCTTTTTTAGCCAACGATCAATTCATTTTTCTTGTCTCATCGATTGAAGACAATTTTATTTATGAATGAAAAAGTATTTTTCATGAGAACATGTTTATGCTGCAAGTGGACAAGAAGCAAACGAAGAAGGAAGCGTAAGCTAGAAGACTAATGAGGGAAACCTCTCAATTGATTAATCACTGGAATCTGAACTATATGCATCATCTAGACCCAAATCAGCTATGAGTACCATGAAAACAGTTCGGGCTCTTAGCTTATTGTTACTAAGATGCTGCATTTTTATGGCATTTTCTAAGTCAATACTGTGGTCCCGCCCAGGAACTCTTGGAAAACTTTGTTTTCGAATGTTGACTTGAAGCTTTGCAGATAGGCCTGAAAGAGAGTAGTTTATTGTGCAAGTCTGAAGTCTTTTGATTCTCTCCTTTCCTGAAATAAGAATATCAAATCTGTCAGTGTATATGAGCAGTACAGAAAGACAAGCTTTAATAATAGCTATATCTTAGGATAGGAACAATGAAATAATTTGAAACGTTCACAGCAAACTATTCTCATTAAGTTCTGTCTCTATTCAAAAATGAGTTTTCTAATGTTCTTGAGAGAAATCACGGCACTGACTTAGAAATACTGTAAAAATACAACATATCAGCAGAAATAAGCTAAGGATTCGAGCTGTTCTGAAGATATTCATGGTTCATTTCGGCCTACATAGTGTACATGGTGTCGACTCAAAAGCGATTTGATCAGCTGAGAGAACTGCCTAGTAGGTACTCAAAAAAGAATTATGGTATTATTAGATACGTCTAAAAATCGTCTTACGTCTCCGATTATATGTATATCTAGTGAAACATTATTGCATGAAAATTATTTTGAAGTTGTTCTTTCACATGCATAATCTGAAGGCAAACGGCTCTTAGCCAACGATTTAATCTGTGAATATGACAACTCCACAACACATATGCATCCGGAATAATCGAAATTATGTGAAGAGAGTTTCGTGTATTTTTTGAACTCTTCCATATAGCCACTTAAACGTCTTCATCTCGATGTTTTCGATTACTATTTTTGAAACGCTGTCGCTAAAAATATAAAATGGGTTAAACTTAAAAACTATACAATGCTTTAATTGATGAAATAAGAAAAGGAATTCATCGTGTACCAAAAAAGTGATTTTCTTCGCAGCGTGCAGCAATTGATCGCACAGCATTGTGCTCATGCTGTATGAAAAGGATACCTTTATTAAATAAAAGTATTTATTATAACTTGTAGAACTTTACATATTGCATCTTTTGTTATATTCTATTTTTTAAATAAAATGTACGAATTGATAAAAGTAAATGTACAACAGCCAGACATTCATCATGGATGAATCGTTATTTGTAGAATGATTTTTTCATTATCTTAAATGTAGATTTATGAACCGGATGGAACGACGAATCTTCACATTCATATGCTTGATAAAACGCCTCCGAATCGAACAGGTAAAATAAATAAACTTTAAAATAAATTCGCACGATATTTATTGTATTTAGAATCATCTGTTTATTCACGAGGTATTGCCGGTGTTGGTCAAAATTTACTTTGTGTTGGTAAGTTTAAATTATTATCAATAAATTTGTACGTTTTCTTTTAGGTAATCATCAAGGTGAAATACTCATATTTAGTATTCCTCCAAAAGGTTCAAATATATTTTTAAAAGAAACTGTTCCAGGTAATTAACTAATTATAAATACATGAGAAATAATTTTCATATTCTAGGTCATCAATATGGCATAACAGGTTTGGTATCAAATAATGAGCTTTTAGTTTCAAGTGATACAAATGGAACAATATTAATCTGGGATAATCGTACGATGTTGCAAAAACATGTTATTGAACCAATGGATGATAGTGGCATAACATCATTATCAATATGGAAAAATTGTATAGCAGCTGGTTATGCCAATGGAATGATTCGATTTTTTGATGCTGGAAGTGGTGAGTAAATATATGAATGTTTTTCTTTCATTAACTTGAAAAATTAAAATAGCACAAATTGCTGGTTCGATTGCTGCACATGCACGATGTATTAATGCAATTGATTGTAATGAAGAAGGATTAGTGGCTTCTGTTAGTGATGACTGTTACTTGAGAATTTGGAAATTATCAGGTGATGCAGAAAATTTACAGGTAGATGAGATTTATTTAAAATGAGATGGAATTTTGTGTATTTATTTTTAAATTAAGATTTCACATGAATGTAATTATCATATTGAAAATAGTCAATTGGTTGGAGTGAAATTTTTACATTTATTGCGTGCCGATATAGCCATATCAACATATGATTCAAATGAGATTATAGTTCTTCGTGCCTGATAAATGAATCTTGATAAATAACGATAAATGAATTCTATTTTTTTTCTTGTCTTCTTTTATTTTCTAAGCAATAAAATTAAAATAATGATATCTATCATACTTTTTATGAAAAGTATATATGGATTGTGAGAAGTAAAGATCGTTCTTTACTAAAAATGATGGTAGAATTAAAACAAAAAAAACTTGTAGACGCAGTTTCTTTGGAGCTAAAATGTGGAATTCATATATTTTTTAGTCTCATTATCCTAATACAAAATACGTTAAGTGAAAATCTCCAGCAGACTACACTTCTTTTTCAACGATAAATGAGCGTCAATGAACGAATCTGCCTTATTTATCCCTGTATTACGAACAGAAAATTTTCCTTTTCTTCCCAGCTGACCTTGCTGCTATTCTTTCATTGTTTTTCATTTTCGTTCATTATATATCTACAGCAGCTCGCTACGCAACCCACTATTATATATCTTGATAAATTCAGAAAGCCTGATCTTGATTATTTTCAACAGTTAAAAGTTCCTTAGTCCTCACTTTTTATGTTGACCATATGACAACTGTGATAAATCAATGCACCACAGCCCATTATTCTTGATATCTTGAGTATAAACTTGTGTCTACACAGAAATCAAAAACTTCACTGTGTACAACATTCACAAACATATTCCAACCATTCATATTTTGCGGAGGCTATGAAATATTCTAGAATTGTCTAAAACGGTCTAAGTCTTGTTGTTAATATTGTTTAGTGCCATTTTCCATTGCCAAGAAACTCTGAAAAAGACGTCGGATGTCTGTTTGCCTCAATTGCTATAGGAATGTATCCAGACACCGTTGGTCTTCCCATCTCTTGTTGCTATGACAACGTACCTAATGATTGTTAGGCTTTCTCCCAATCCCGCCCACCTTGTTGCTATGAAGGAGACGGGTTGGGAAGAGTCGTAAAATTTTAACTCAAAACTTACACTCACTAAATTTTTCTTCGAAAAACATAATGAGAGTTCCACAAAGAACATGTTTTTTTTGCAGCGCATATAGATATGATAATTATTTTTTTTAAGCATTCGACTTTTTGTTTTTGTTCACTGTTTTTATACGCCTTCTAAAGATTTCGCTTCGGTTTTACCTCTATGTTGAAGGAAAATGAAAAACTATTGGTTCAATGTCTGCGCGCTTAAAATGTGAAATACAATGTAGCGGCTGTTGCTAGCCACGAGAAGATTGTTTTATTCTATCTATTTTGGAGAATATTTCTTCACCCTTTTTTTACTGAACTGTCCAGAAATGCAGGATAGATACGATCTGTAATCGTATATCAACACCGTCAATCATCATTTGTTATGAGTGGTCTCTAATGTGTCTCTCATATCTGCAATGATTTGTTGCTATGATGTATGCCACATCACTGGAGAGAGGGAAAAATTCATATTTCTATCTCTATACTTCCACACTCCTTTTAGATCATATTCCACAAAAGAAAGGGTATAATTTTTCAAAATTCTCTTTCGTTAAGTACCATTCTCAATTGTTTCACCTTTCAATCAACTGACGTAATCATATCTTTCAAAGTTATGTTAACATGTGCATGCAGTTTCACCTTTGTAGTGATAATTCAACTATTGGGTCATAAAAGCTGTTCTCTACAAACAAGAGTTGAAACCTATTTATTGAACTTGTCTTTGTTGCAAGTTAAATCTGTTTTGTTTTCACAAACGCTTGTGTCAATTTTCGATTTCAATTACAATATTTCGAAAGTTTCACTTCACACAAAAAATATTGCTTATGTTAAATGATTCAATGTTTTTATTCTGTATCAATTGACCACCAATAAAAATGATCTAATGCTGATCGTCCTCAAATTCGCTCGAATCAGTTGGATCAACATCATCTTCAACATCACATTCGCGCAATTTAATTTTTGACTATGATTTCATCATATGTCCATCGATGTTTTCTAATAGAAATCACCCGAAATGCAGCACGAGGTGTAATCAATACTTCTTTCTCGTGTGGATATTCGGATATTTTTTCGATAAACAGTGCTGTACGTTGATTTCGAATTTTATATGTACACAAAGTCGGATATTTCATAATAGGTCGACTTGTATTTTGTCGGAGTGGATGTCTAGTGGCAAGATTTTCAGCCACTTTCCGTTCGGTGGACGCTGACAAAAATGCTTTATTTAGCAATAAAGTATTCACCTTGTACATTGTAATATCTTCTTCGGACATATTCATGCCGCGATATGCTGTACCGGTAAATGAATATTTTTCAAGATGTGGATGATGAGCAATAATCCCTACATAACCACCCGGATCGTGCCAATAGCGAAAATGCTCATCTCTGGATTGTTCATCATCATTCTTAGCAAAATTGACCTTAGGAATCGACGATAAATCAGCATTGATAAAATTGTAGAAATCTGTTTCTGCCGTATAAGCTTTCAAAAGAGATTCAACACTGTTTTCTTTCGTTGCCTGTTGAATAAAAAAGGCAATCTCATTTACACCTTTAATATTCATAAGATTTACATTGACATAACGCTTAATATCGGCCAAAAAGTGTTGGCCACCTTTCAAGCACACATCATCAAACCATTGTGCTTCATTTCTCTTATATTTGCATGCGCTACGATCAGCTGTCGGGTCGATAATTACCCATTCCAAGGATGCAGAGAAACTATAAAAACGATTCGTTTTCGTTACCCGTTCGAATAGACGTTTAATATTGGATGTATCAGCTTCTTCATAAGGTGTATGCCCGTAATTGTTGCGTAATGTTCTAACAGCACCTTTTTCTAACAGCAATTGAACAATTTCTGCGTGACCATAAAATGCAGTTGCGGGCAGTGCTGTGCTTCCATGTAGCTCAATGCGATTAATCTCATTTAATGTTGCAGTCTCGAGGAGACGCTCGACATCTTCAATTCGATTTTCGCGACATGCTTGATAAAGTTCACTAAGAGGTTCGTGAACATTTTTTACAGCATTAGTATTCTTTTCCTCCTCAGGTTCATCAGTTGTGGAACTCTGGCTGCTACCAATTCCCATCGAAATTCAATTTTCGTTACCGTACACATTCTTGTTGTAAACTGATAACAACGATTGATATGTGGACACAAGAAACAAGACTAAAATAACACATAAAACGTGTGGCAACTCTGTGTTGTGATCATTATTATGTTTGATAATACTGTCATGCAGCGGACCATGCTTGATAAATGTTCACAAACAATGCCGGTTACATTTCTACCCATGCAGAACCATGTATGTGATAATGAAAGTAAACGATACTGAATTTTAAAAAACAGTCGATGAAGGACCCCTAATGTGTGCGCCCATTAGAAATTCTCTTCCTGACGTTAATTCTGGTTACAAAGTTCCTCATGATGAAAAAGGAGAAACAATTACATTTGATCAACAACAAAACGAGAACAGCGATTATTACGAATCCTATGCTGATTCTTCATCGAGCAAACCAATGGTAAACTTGTTTGAGCCGATCTATATAGCCAAGAAAAAATATCATGACGATCAATCAGGTAATTTCTGGGATGCTGGTGATGAATTCGAATGCCTGAAAGAGTTATCTACTGATAAGAGAAAACTTGAATTAAAGCATTTACGCACTATGAAAACGATGACTGTTCGCAGGTCACAAGTTGAAATCGATGACGAAACCCCACTACGTTTAGGCGTACGTGATCGAGGTATAGCCGAATGTTGCTTACTAAAATGTAAAATTCAGTATTGTTATTTGATTCGACAAAGTGATCAAGAGAATTCCATGTTTGTTTTAAGGCCTCCCCCGCCCTTCAAAAAACGTCAATTTTCGTCAAAAATTTCGAAATTGAGATAAATGCATGGGAAGATAGCCCTTGGTCTGCTCTTTCATAACTGATAAAAAGTTTTCCTCGATACCTCCTTTTTGTCCAAAATTTTCGAAGATTTTCGTCACCCCCTATTCGAAAAACCAGCTGTTTTTTGAAAAATCAAAAAATGTTTTTCGTTTTTTTCTCGGTTNTACAGATCGTGGAAAAGAGCCAGCTGAATATCTTGTTTGGAACGCAAAAGAGCCATCTCCATACCCAAGGAAAACACTCACATCATTGCTAAGCCCATTGGCAACAACGATATCTAGTTGGGAGTCGTTGTTGAAATCACCAACAGATATAGCCTGTGGACTATAGCTAGATGTATACGCTATTTGAGTTTGAAAGCCTTCGTCATAACCAAAGAGAATGCCTATGCTTTTGGTGTCATTGTTGATAAAAGTAATGTCTAGCAGATTATCATTGTTGAAATCACCTACACCAACTGAAATCGACGATAAAGATCTGGTTGAGTACATTGTTGCTTGAGAAAATGTGCCATTGCGACGTCCCAGTAGTATACCTATGTTATTAGTCCCTCTATTAGTTACAACTAAATCTAACCGATTATCTTGGTTGAAGTCACCAACACCAATGGAATATGGAGAGGCAATACCAAGTGAATATGTGGTTTGACTTGCAAAATTTCCATTACCCTTACCTAGAAATACACCTACATTGTTCGTTCCATAGTTAGCGACAGCGATATCCAGTAGATTATCGCCATTAAAATGGCCAACGGCAATCGAGTATGGATGAGAGTTGATACCAGTTGAAAATTTCTTATGATATACAAAATTATCGCTACGATTTGCAAGAAGTATATCAACAGTACTTGTACCATAATTGGCGACTGCAAGATCCAACTGATCGTCATTGTTGAAATCTCCAGTGATGACTGAGAATGATAAAGAATCATAGCCTGTTGAATATGTTATCGGATGTGAAAAGCTTCCATTTCCGTTGCCAAAGAATATACTAATACTCTGAGTGCCATAATTAGTGGTGACAAGATCAAGTAATGTATCATTATTGAGATCAGATACATGTATCCAGAGTGGATGACATAATGCAGTTGAAATTACTTTTTGATTGTCAAAAGAGCTGTTTCCAATTCCCAAGAATATACCTATGCTGTTGGTACCAAAATGTGCAACAGCAATATCAAGCCAATGATCGTTGTTGAAATCAGCAACAGCAACCATGTATGGAGCAGAATATGGACCAGTCGGATATGTCATATGACTTGTGAAAGTGCCATAGCCATGTCCGAGAAATATAGATATACTGTTGATATCATGATTGGCAACAACCATATCCAACCATTTGTCATTGTTAAAGTTGCCAACGGCGACAGAGTAAGGACCATAATTATATTCGATAGGGTTTAAGACTGTTGGCAGAAACTTCAAGTCACACTTTGGACCTAAATGAAATCTCAAATAGGATAAGCTGAAAACGTTAATTCGATCGTTTCTTCATTCACTTTCTTCCATCTAGTATAGAATTTGTGAAAAAGAGTCATTGTCTTGAGAAACAAGAAATGGTATGATTCAGATTTCCAGAGTGCTATCAACTACATGTTTAAGTTGAATCTTTTCACAATCACATGATTTCTTTGGTAAACTATACTCAGCGACAAATTTATTTCAATGATGTACGTTACGAACTGTTATGAGTAGATAATATTATCGATGAATCAATCACTAATAGTTGTTTGCATATACTTCAATTCAGCAGTGAGTAATATTTTTGTTTTATCATACTATTACCAAGATTGACAAGAAAAATATGATATGAAATATTACGATGTTAGATCATAGAAATGCTTTTTACCCATAGTTATAATTTTAAAAAATTCCGAACACTGATACTTGAAAGTACTTTGAAAGTATATATTCCATCGAGATGATAAAAATTTATTGGAATTTATTTATATAGTAACTTCGATCTCAAGAAAAAGAAAAACATACTTATTGCTTTTGGTGAAGTTAGACAAACTACTAATACGCCAGCAGTTATTATCAGGCTTGTGAAGAGAGTAACTGCACTTGCAGCTCTTAAAGATCGGTGTCTTGACCTATGCAAATATTTGTTAATGTAAACTTTAAATAGATCATGATAGTGATAAATAAAAGAAAGATTTACAAAAATGTTGTAGTCATTGAAGAATTCTTCGCTGTATTAGACGCATTGACAAGTCTTCCTAAGTTAGCTGGATTTTGTGTGAAGCTTTGACGTTGTTGATTGTTGATGCTAGAATCTCGTCGAATATCTGAGTTTTGAATTGAGATATTATTATGACCTATGGAATTTTAAGTCACCTGTCATAAAAATCAGAATGAATAATAGACAGTTATCAACTATCCATCGTCTACTCTTAAACTATATAGTATTTCTTTCAAGTTATTTTACAAATAATTGCTTGTGTATTTTCTATATGAAATAACAGTAGTTTTTTGATAAAATCATACAGAAGAACAATTTGATTGGTCTACAGATTCTAATTTCAAATAGATAAATATGCAGAAAATTTGTTTCTTTCGTCATTTGAGATATTTGATTGAAGACTTCATTGAACTTACTTCTCAATAAAAACACACAGGATCCAGCCTGTATAAAATGCGGATTATTAAAAAGTTTGAAATTTAATAAAAATTGAAAATATTATCTACATAGCAAACAGTTCGAGTAAGAATGTAACACGACATACTATCTTACAGATGCTTCTTTTTATCTTGCGAATCAGTTTCTCATTTCGAATTTTATATTTATCTGTCTCAAATTGAGTTGTTGTCTATTTTGTTTATCCGATAAATTTCTTAGATCTGTAGAAATATACTTGATTCACTATATAATACATGCTCTATTTACTTAAATCAAACATTTGATGATAGAAAGTGTGTATACCTCCTACGTTTTCGGAAAAATAATTGTTTTTGCCAACACATCTGATTTAGACATTGATTTATTCAATCATATCCTTGTACTCAGGAAAACAAATGGATAGAATATCAAATAATCCATATAGTTCAGTTATTAATATAGTGACTGTAAAGTTTAGTAAACAGAAAAATCTTCGACAACCAATAGTGGTTCAAATACTAGTAAGTTGTAGAGTTATTGAACTGTATCTTTCCGTAAGACCTTTGAAAAATTCTCTTAGTAAACCTACAACAGCTTTTACTACATCATTCGATAATTAGAGAACTTTTTTGCATTAATGATCGATATGATTATGCCAATGAAAACTCTATAAGGATATAAATCGTTAGTATTTATTTTTTTCAGAAGAATAAATTCAAAAAGTACACAGAAAGAAATACAACATCGAAGACGGTTATATCTTACAGTTTAATAATAAGAATAAGACAATAATATTTCATCTCTCTATAAAAATTAAACAATTACTGTTCACATAGAAATATTTAATAATTTTCAAATGTTTATACCAAAAATATTTATGATAAATTATTTCAATTTTATACATACAAAAAGAAAGTTAGTTAGAAAGGAATACATTCACCTTACTTCAACGTAATATGACTATTTACTGATGAGGTAACAAATGTTATTAGCATGTTTTTTTTTTATAATAATTACTAATTTTGAAAATCTATGGTTTATATTTCTCTCCTATAAAATACACGTTCTTTTATTAATTACATGATAGCAAAATAAGCATGTTTACTTAATTCATTTTCATTAGTAATAATCATACTTAAATATCTATTTTATTATCATTACGTAAGCGCATGTATCAGATACATTGCATACCAAAATAGATCAAGCCAGAAAAAATATGTTATCATTATTTTTGTAACTTTGTTTTTCGTCGTAAATCTTCTTGTATTAATATATGTTTACACATTTTTTCTCGCCGCTTATTTTTGATGGTATATGAAGAAATCTGCTTGAATCGATACTCAACGTAGAAACAAGAAACTATCTTTCGTTAAAGATACTCAGTCACTATAGAAAAAATGCTTAAGCTGCATATTTTGAGCAATGATGTTTATCACAAGAACACATTTATTCTCAATAGTTATTAATAATAAGATTTAAATATTCACAACTAATTCAGCATATTTCAAAATTGCTTTTCGCTAATTAATGTAGACATTATCTAAATGAAACATCTTTTTTTTTCTATTTTGTCAATGTACAATCTACATCGGATGTATTATATTTTCATTAACGAAGCGATGTCGTAAAAACAATAACATCACTTCTATCGAATAACTACGAAGCATATGCATGCGCCAATATGGTAGAATAGTTTATAGTAAAGAAGAAGAAAAAAGAAAAAGGCCAAAAACTATCATTCTGTGATATTATCACAACGCCTCTTTCTTTTCTCCGCCGCGAAAATAGATGCTATTTTGACTTTTTTCTCGTTTTTTTACCTTTAAATATTATAAACCATTAGGCGAAAAATAAATCAATCATAAATAGATGAATTTATGTGTATAATAAAAAAAAGTAGAATAAAAAACTGCCTGGTCCATCATTTTTTGAATATGTTGTATATTGTACGAGAGCGGATCTTCTATCAGCTAACTTTTCTCTTAAATTAATTTTTATTCTAGCTATTTCACTAAAAACGAGAAGATAATTTTCTAATAAATTAATATGAAATATAACGATTTATACAACCAATCAAAGGAAACTTTTGTAAAGAAAGAATGTGTAAATGAGTGAAGAAAAACTATAGACAATCAAAATGTCTGATCTAGGTTTTCCATTTGTAACGCATACTTCTTTTACATTTTTTAAATAATGGATCTAAAAAATCAGTTTTCCAATTATAGCCTCATTTTCATTTGCGAAACTCAACTACCTTTTTTACAATTGCATAGTTCATTGAATACAAAATATAAGCATTCGTTTGTCTATATGTCTTAGCACGAAAGAATACATATGAAAAAGTAATTTATAAGTCGTACCAGAGTTTCTATAGGATCAGCCTTACAAAAGTATCAACCGGAGACTATCTTTCAAATATTTCATATAAAAAAGGAGCGAGAGATATGAAAGAATTTTTTTGGTGTGAAGCGTCTTGACTGTTATGATTAGCATGTTACCCTATGTTGGGTCGTTTTTGACCCATTTATTAAAACTATCTGTTTGGTGTAATAAAGGATCGGATCAAGATGGTTCTTAACTGTTGTGTGCTGGATACGGTATGAGTGTACATGTGGGTGAAGCAGATACTAATACTCACATCTCTGTCTATAGTCTCCTCATTTACTTACATACATCGATAGTTTTTAATTCCTAATAGGCAGCGTAAAATATCAAAACATATCCAGAAACCTTTTCTTCTAGTACCTAGCATTTTCCTAACATGTACTTGTGACACTAATGCTCTTTTTTGTGCCTACAGTATAAATTTTATCAAGTGACGTTGCTCTTTCACTTATTTCTACATAGAATGAATCATCAGATTTGTTCGATAATACAAAAAAAAACAATTGTTAGCGTAATCTCTACTGAATGAAAATGTTAAGCCTGATTTAGCTGCTGTTGCTAACTAAAGAGAGACTACTTTGTTTTATACCTCGCTGGACACATTTATTCACTCTCATTTTACTTAGTATTCTATAAATGGAATGAAGAAGTAGTTAATATGTTCTAACGAACCGTTCTTAACATACGGTCTGTGATCGTCTCTGGTAAGCGTCTGTAACAATATGTGAAGGATCACCAAGATGCTTCTCAGCGTTTATCGGCCGCGGAGGTAGTGAGTGGTTGAACGATGGAGACACAGAACGTCCCCAATTCTCTACCCTATATATATTAATATTCATTTTATATAATGTTCGACAAAATCGTTCGAAAAGTCTGACCTGATTTCAGGATTTTTCACATATTTCACCTTGCATATTTTCATTTTCTCTAATTGAGTTTGCAATATTAAGTGATACGTTCAATGTGAGACCTCTATTTTCATTTCCAACGGAAGTAACACGAAAATACGCACATACAACCGCTCGTAGAACATGCTGAGTTTTTCAGAGCATCAAAAACTTTAATTTTCGGGGTTGCACACAGATTCCATTAATGCTGTTATACACAACGAAATGAATGATCCACAGCATTCCAGTTTGTCTAAATCAGCACAACAAAAAAGAAACGCTGAAAGTATACGTTGTTGAGCAAAAATAACCAAATGTCGATTTAAGATGGCAAGAATCATTGTTCCAACTCAAAATATATTTAAAATGTATGGCCACGTGTT